TATATATATATATATATATTTCTTGAATAAAATATTTTATGATTTGGTTGATATTCTCCTAGGATATTTGACCTATCTGATGTTGTATATCAGAGCGCTGCTCGATAACATTGACATATATGAAAGAGGTCGCATCGAATCCTATTAGTATTGATCATCCAGTGATTGAAACATAATAAAGATTGTGTATTTCTTGAATCAAGAATTTATAATTTGATTAAAATCCTCCTATGAAGTTTGACCTATCAAATATTATATGTCAAAGTACTGCTCAATTACATTAACCTGTGTGGAAGAGGTCAGATCAAATCCCCCTAGGATTAATCATCCATGATTGGGAGGGGAATGAATGCTGTGTATATCCAGAATTAAATGTGAAGAATAGTTTATCTTTAGATCGTTACTGCTTTTTTTGAGGTCGAGATTAAGACTTAACCCAAGGAATAAAAGTCAAATTAGGGACTGTATATAGCTTATGATTTATTGGAAGTATCCTTGCATTTGCTTGGAGTTTTCTGAAAAATGATTTCTCAAGATATCGTCTTGAATGTTGGAAGTATTTGAGGAATCTTTTTAACCACGATTATAATTAAAGTTTCCCCCTAGTCCATATATTGATTCATATGAAATTGATGTAGTAATAACTGATGTCACGACATTGACATGAACAATCTTTTAAGATTGGAGTAATAGTAACCCCATAGTTAGGAATGACGTTCTCACAGACGACGCTAAACTATTACGTCATGAAATATTCGTAGTAGTAGAGAAATATAAAATTTAACATATTAAATTTGTATCAAGATCTAGCACACAATCAGATAAAAGATAGGGAGTAACATTCATAAGAGACACAAGAGTTTTTTATGTTGAAAACCCTTGAAAGGGGAAAAAACCATGGGGCCTGACCTAGTTTGAATGAATCCACTAGTGTTTGCAATCAATTATAAATGATGCCCTTCATTAGGGGGAAGGCCTTGGTTTGATGTAGCAAATATACATTATAAATAGTGCATTACATGGTGGAAATGGGAAGAATCAGAATTGATATATTCGTTTGATCAACAGGACCATAGTCAGCTGATGACGGAGGTCGAGAAGATCGCATTCAGGTGACAGCGGTCAGAATGTCTTGTTTGAAAGAATCTAGCTCTAGGTGAGCTTCTATAATGCATATTGACCATTATAGTTCAAATAACTCATCTTTGCTAAGAAAGACTCTATTAGCCAATAGATCCCAAATCAAGATTAAAAGCAATGGTATGTGAAACCATAGCCAACGGGAAATGGAGTTTGGAAAAACCATTGTCAAGCAATGGAGGTTGGAAGGACCTTAGTCGTTAGGCGATGAAGGTTGTAAATACCGTTGACTAGCAAAGGAGTTTAGAAAGACCGTAGTTGGCTGGCGATGAAGGTCATAAAGATAGTTATCTAGCAACAAAGGTTGGAAGGATAATAGCCAAAAGGCGACGAAGGTCAAAAAGATCATTGTCAAGTGATAGAGTTCAAAAGGACCGTAGTTGGTGGGTGATAGAGGTTGAAAAGATCGTTGTCTGGCGATGGAGGTCGAATGGACCATAGTCGGCCGACGACAGTGATCAGAAAGACTATTGTTTGACGACTAAGGTCAGAAGGATTGTAGTTGACCGACGATGAATATTATAAAGACCTGGCAGTGGAGGTCGGAAGGGCCGTTATATATCAACGGAGGTCAAAATGGTTGTAGTCGACAAGCAACAAAGGTCATAAAGACCGTTGTGTGGTGACAGAGGTCGAAATGACCGTTGCCTGGCGATAGAGGTCAAAAAGACTGTAGCAATAGGTGATAATAGTAAAAAAGATTATAGTTAGGCGATGAAGGTCGTAAAGACCATAGTCGTTGGCGACCAAATGTTAGAAAGACCTTTATAAGGCGACGAATGTCTTAAAGACTGTAGTCAGGCGACGAAGGTCAGAAAAACCATAGTTTGCGGGCGATGAATGTTGAAAAGATTATTGTCGGGTGGAAGTCCAACAACAATTGGAAGCCCGGTGGAAGTCTGGCGTTAGTTGGTGGCCGGGCAGAAGTTCAGTGTCAGTCGATGGATGGATGGAAGTTCGACATCAGTCGGTGGACATGCAGAAGTCTGACGTCAGTTGGTGGCCGAACAGAAGCCCGACATCAGTTGGTTGCTGGGCGGAAGTCCAACAATGGTCGAGAAGTCTGGTAGCAAGAGAACTCTAGTTTCTCTTCATCCTTTTCTTTCTTGCTTGGGTCCCCCCTTCCCATGACGAATGAGTGGTCTACTTATAATTTTTTGAGAGTGGCATGACCATCAAATATGAAGGAGATCAAGAGTAAGTTGGGAGTGGTTTGCATGGACGACCGATGTTGATTCCTTTGATTATGGACCATTTATTAGACATTTGAATGCTTTAGTGATGTTAGAATTTGATGATCTTGGGCTTGTTGGATTTGTCTCGTCGAGCCGTTTGGTTCGACTGTAAGCATATCAATTATCAAGTTTGGAATCCGTTTGATCATCCAATTTATAGTTTTAACATTCCAAATGCATTTCAAGTCTTCAATTTGGTCCCATTTGGGCTCGGATTGAGTCGAATTTGGTGTGGTTGTGTTCGTAATTCTGAAACGTTCAATTCGACTATAAGTTTGCTGAAATTGAAGTTCAGACGATTAATTTTGGAAGTTTCCAACTTTATTTTGCCTCTTGATCCGTATCCGATCAAGATAATTTTTTTTGATCATATATCATATGGTAATTTGATAATGAAGAAAAAAATTTTGTAGTCCATAATAGGATAAGTTCTTGATGTATTATTATTTTTATTTGGTTGATTGTAAGTGCTAATCTATCCGCTCATTGCTATGATCAATTTTGTGAGAACTTCTCTAGTATTTTTCGTCCCTTTCGCCGGACTGTTATCTTCCTTGCCAGTCAGGACAGGAAAACCACGAGTGATTATAAAAATCATGAGGCCCGCCGCTAGCCGAGTGGATTCGCCACTTCCGATTGCTATCGTCCTCAATCGGTCCCTTCCACCCACAATGGACGACTGTTGAGCTTCTTCCCTGTCTAAGCAGGGATTGACACCGGCGCGGATCCAACTTCAGAAGTTATTTTATATTGTCCGAGTGGATTCGCCATTTCTGATCCTTGTGAAGTTTGTCTGTCATTTTATATCGCCCCCAGATGGGAAAGAACCAGGCCTACAAAGCTATGCAGAGGGCGAGGCTCTCGGGGTCTGCCGGTGCGGAGGAAGTGGAGGATGGAATGGTTCGTACCTTTTCACACCATTGACCTAATTTTATTGGTTTATTTTTGTTTTTACTTCTTCACTTCTTTTGTTCCAACGTTACTCTTTTTGTTCTGAATAGTTAGTGTTATTAAGAAGAAACATATTAATTTTGGGATCTCAAAGTGCGTTCTTTGCTGTGATTTTTTTTTTTTTCAGGTGGCACCATCATGTTACTAAATGTCTGTTTAGCTCGCGAGCTTCTCGCGCTTAATATGTTGTTTTAGTTCGTTGTCATCTTCATGTAGCAATGATTTAGATGTTTGTTTTCCGCAAGATACTTTGATGTAGGTATTGAGTGTTAAGCATCTTCAATACTAGAAGAAATTAGCAGAAAAGATTACAATCAGTATTGATTTTTCTTTTAGGGCTATAATCTTTACGTTCATTAACAGAACCATATGAATTAAAGTATTAATATTGTGCTGATTTCTATGTTACTTTTTGTTTCAAATAAAAATAAATCGAACAGCTTGTCAAGCGGGAGCTAAATTGTTGACTTAATGGGGAAAAGTTGCTTGGACTCTGTCCTTATTGAGACTGGCATTCATAATATATAGACCGATACATTTTGTTGGTGAGTCTTGGATTGTTGGGACTTGGGAGTGCGCCACACTGCCATCGCCAATCGATATTAATAAGATTATACCTGATTTTGTAGTAGCATATGGTCTTTCAAGGAGAAATGCATCCTCTATGAAACAAGAAGAGGCCTTAGTAGCATAAGAACTTTTTTTTAACATAAAAGAAAGGAATTTGTTTCTTTATGAAACCTATAAGGTTATTCTAGCTGAAAGTTTAATGATATAATAGATTATTAGTTGTAGATGTACTTTTGCATATAAAAAAATTAATCAAAAGAAATAATTTCCTCTGAATAAAATGGTAGAATATAAAAGATGAGAGTTGGTATGTTTAGTTGCAATAAGAAGATTGACATAGATGTTTTATTGGAGTATAGAAATAAATAATACATAAGCTAGGACATAGTGTTGAGTAAGCAAGCACGCTTTTACACTAACAAATATGCTTTCCATGAATGAGAAATAATAAATACTTCTATAGATTTTAAAAATTGTAGAGAAATTAGAATTATGGCAAAGAAGATAGTAAGCAAAGCAAGAGCTAAAGCAATTGATGGTTTATAGAATAGGCAAGATATTTAAGTAAAGGGAAAATGCAATAGGTAAAATAGTTAGGCATAAGAGAGATCTATTGAATGTGATCAAGTTAGATGTATATACATGAAGAGGACTGAATCTTAAAAATGAAAACATCAATAAATATTGACGTTATTATAAAAAAATGATTAAATATGATTTTTAGGTGGAAGTATTTTTTGATTTGCATATTGAACATGAAAATAATATATCTTACATGTTGTTCCGAAATTTGAAGTTTAGTTTTGTTTGAAGAAGATGCATAAAGATAAAATCTTTGGTCCATGTGAAATACTTATCAGAATTTTGAGAGTTATGTGAGATGTAAGAGTAGTTTGGTTAGGAAAACCTTATATGGAAATATTTATTATTAAAGGGTTGTTTGGTTGAATGTATTTAAATTTTAAAATGCAAGTATTTTAAAAATGCAAAATAAAAGGAATGTAATGTATGTTAAATTTAGGGAATAGTTTGTTTGAATGTAACTCAAATATAGAGAAATAGTTTTATATTTTTGTAAGGATGCATTTCAATGCATAGAAATTCCCTTTTTCTCTCTTCCATCAGTAATGGGGATGGTGAGAGCAGCAAGGTTGGGGCGATAGAGGTTTGATCGATGATGGTGTAATCGGGTAGGTCAGGGCTGGCTAGGTTAGGGGTAATAGAGGTGAAGTTGGCATGATTGAGGAGGTCAACACTACAAGTGCGGGGGTGGTGTAGGTAGATTAGGGTTTTTTGGGTTAGGTGTGATGCATCCAGGGTTGGTGTGATTAGGGTGGTCAGGTCGTAGGTCTGGGAGCAGCGAAGGAGGGTTTAACATTGGCAAATTGGGGAGCGCAGAGGCGCATGTGGAGGGGTGGTAGATGAGTGGTCAACATGATTGTGATTGGGGAGGTTGGGGTCGTAAATGCTCACGGTCATGTAATTGGGGTTGTGGTGGAAGGATTGTAAGCTCAAGGTCTCATAATTGTAATTTTCCCAATTTGCTGGAATTTGCCAATTTGAGTGAATCTAAAATTTATAAAGAACATACCTTAGGGATATTCTAAGTTCCTTAGAAAAACTTTGCATCAATTTTACTTCATACCAAATATCTAAAAAATCAATGCTCATGTATTTCTTTTAGTTTATGTCTCTAATACTTGCAATCAAGTTGCCGCTAAGATCATGTCAGATGATTGAAGAACTACTGTATCAATATTAAAGAATAAAAGAGATGCTGAAAATGATAGTTTTAGAGGTATTAAGCTCGTTAGCTCTACAATTAGATTACGGGAGATGGTAATTGACATTATATTGGTATGTGAGAATTGATTTCATTTTAAATATAGAACAACTAAAATGACATGATGGATCGAAATACAATGAAATGAAAGTTTAAACAACAATGTGAACAATAAAAAAATTAAAATTAAAATTAAAAAAATACTTTGTTTTGAATGAAAAGGATCAAATGTAAACATGAGACTTTTAATGAGCAGGACTACTCACCTACACACCAGAATATGACTTTTTGACTTTAACTGAACGCACATATTCTATAGACTGTATTAAAGAGAAATTGAATAAATTGAGATGAATTAAACAACATATCACCTATTTACAACTAAAACCTAATTTTTGCATGGGACCCTCCACACTAAATTATAATTACACAAAAATGAAATTTTGATAGTAAGAAAAATATGAAAAAATTTAATTCGTATTCAATGCCATAAGATCCGCAACACAAACACATGGATAGAAGGTGATCCTTTTAAAATTTAAAAAATGAAAATTTGTGCATGTTTTAATGGCAAACGCACATGCAAAGTACTCAAATATAATTTTTTTAAAATATCACATACCTAAAAAGGCTAAAATATGTAATTACTATATATAAGTATGTTGCCTCAAGAAGCATGCCGTTGTATAAAAATGTTGCAACATCCCGAAGAAGCATGTCATTGCCTCAAGATCTGTATTGTAGCCTCAAGAAGCATGCTACAGCCCCATGAAGCAAGCCTCCCCGTCAAAAAAAAAAAAAGGTCTTATTTGATTTTTATTGATCCAGAGGATGCATATGATTGAGTATTATAAGAATATATTTGGCTTGTTTTAAGGAATAATTACTTTTATTAAAGGTGTGTTAGGGGTTTTAAAGAGATGCATGATGGAGGGTTCACTGTCATTAGATATGATTTTTGATTGACCAGAGAGCTATCGATTACAGACTTCCAATACAATTACATGATTAACACTATGGCTATATTGTTAGTCTTATCCCAACTATTTATAGTTGGCTTTAGCAATACCTATTTTCCATTGTTTCATATTGATAAATGTTGCAAGAGATATTAACTTATTTTATGCAATATTTTTTAGACAAATTCAATGCATTTTATTTTTGGTTGAACCATTTTTCTTTATTTTTTTCATATTAAATTTATGTATCCATTTTATTGGTGTATCTTTTACCCTCTTTTATGAATGCTCAAACTAAACTATATTTCTCAGGGTCCTTTAATATAATTTCTCTCGATCTATTTTTTCGAGTTTATGTCACACATTCATCATGACATTTTCATTTCTTTCATGGTCAATGTAGCTATTAACAAATTCTATTTTTCCAAACATTTGAATTCATATAATATTAGCTCTTCTAATTGCAATTTTATATAATTCATTTTAAATCTTTTATTACAAGTATCTAAGACAATATGTTTGTTAAAACACTAGCAAAAGGTGTTTATATAGATTGCAACTTACCAAAACCGATAAAGTGAACTTCTATGATCCACTCATACTTTTGTATAGATATTGTGCCTCAGAGAATAAATCAGTGCATTAAGAAAATGCAGGGTTGTTAGATAATAACAAGAACTCCTTGAAGTTATGTTAGATAGCCAATATGAGCTCCTTTTTGAGACCTTAATATCTTAGACAATTATGTACTACAAAGCACTTGGAAAAAGTGCTGTGTAGATCACAACTTGTGGAAAGCTGTACTGTTAACTTCTATAATTCACACCGCTTTCAAGCACAACTGATTTCGAATAAGTTGGTGTGATAGTGAAATGCAGGCTTGTTAGACAAAGACAAGAACTCATCCACGAAAGATTGCCAATCTGATGGCCTTTACGGGCCTCTAAATCAGCAAATAAAGCGATATTTTTCAATTCACCATGTAGAGGAGCAAGAAATACTAATAACTTAACAGGAGGTCTCCTGACCCAAACTCGACAAAACCAAGTTAATAAGAGCATCATTCTTATCTTTACAAAATTTTAAAAAGGACTACATCTTATCTCTATGCAAAAGATTTCATAAGAAATTAAAATGAAGAGCAACGCTTCTTGTTGAAGTGAAGGAGAATTGTGCATGCACGGAAACAACAACAACACATAAATGAATAGCTTATAATCAAGATTTGAGTGGCAGTACACTCCATGATTGAGTTTTTAATATTAACTTATCATGTTTTTGTACGACTTGACATCTTTCTAGTTACTTCATCAATTTCATGTTGGGCTGGTATCTAGTCAAGTTCAAGGGAGCCGTACTAGACTCAAAATAGCTGGACTCAGAATTGGTGAGATTAGAATTTAACCATTGAGTCACTTGTTGAAAGCACAATTAGCCTAAAATATTAATATAATTTAATTATTTTGTCATTTCAAATCATATTTTAAATGAGCGATATTTGGTTCAAAATTGACTAAAAAAGGGCTCAAGTTGAGTGACTAACCATAACTCAACTTGAATTTCATAGTCAATTTTGAATTAACTTCGAACAAAATTGCCAATCCTAATTTCGTGTAAACATTTTTTAATGGAAATCT